CCGGGACCATCCCCCACCACCACATGACTTCAGTCTTAGTTGGATTCAGCTTCGGATAGCTCTGCCTCAACCACGCAACCATGGCATTCAGACAGTCAGGGCCAAGAGGGCCTCCTCAGGCTGTTCATCCAGCAGGAGGAAGAGCTGGGTGTCATCCACATACTGATGGCACCTGATACCAAACCTCATGATGAGGTCTGCTAGAGGGACCATATAAATATTAAACAACATTGGAGACAGCATCAAACCCTTTGGAACCCCAGTCTAGTGGGTGTCTGGTTGAAGTCCTGTCACCAATGGTTACCCTCTCTATGCATCCCTGGATGAATGAGATGAAGCAAGATAAGGCAATGCCCTGCACCCCTAAGTGAGGCTAGATGGCTGACCAGGATCAAATGATCAACTGTGCTGAATGCTGCCAACAAGACTAACAATATCATGGATATTTCATCCTTGGATCCTCATATATGAAAGACCGTCTCTCTCTACAATAACTTCACTCATCTGAACAGGGCCTTTTGCAGGCACCAACCAGCAAATGGGTGAAATCAACAACTGCCCATACATATGGTGGTCTTGCACAATCATGGTGTTCTTTTGGAAACAGGTTCATCAACGTATTTTGTTAATTACGGGTGTAAAACTAATTTTTCTACCTGAGGTTTTGGAATATCAACCCCCCCTTGTAGGTAACAAAAAACATAATGGGTTAATTTCCATTTTACTTTCCACAGCGAGAAATACTGTTGCCACTTACTGGAAAAATTCTATTCTACCCCACAATGATACTTGGTTTAATCATATATGGTCTTATTTTATTATGGCAAAGTTTACTGTTGGCACTATCCAATTTCTGTCTGAAATTGGTGTAGTGGTTAAGTGTGCGGACTCTAATCTGGGAGAACCGGGTTTGATTCCCCACTCCTCCACTTGCAGCTGCTGGATGTTCTTGGGCAAACCATAGTTCTGTCAAGAGCTGTCCTTGAAAAGATCAGTTTCTGTCAGAGTTCTCTCAGCCCCACCTACCTCACAGGGTGTCTGTTGTGGGGAGGGGAAGGGAAAGGAGTTTGTAAGCCGCTCTGAGACTCCGAGTGAAGGTGGGGTATAAATCCAATTTCTTCTTCTTCTATTGTTTTGAATAATCCAGTTTACAAAGATATGATTTTTCCTAATGTTGGCTTAACCCTATATTTTCTTTTTCTTTTTTTCCTTTTGTTAAAATTTGGAGGTTCTGATGGTGTACTTACACTTGTGTAATAAATGTATATGTATTACCAAATAAAATTTTTAAAAACTCCAACATCAACTCTGTTGTGGCCCCTACCTTGTGGAATGGCCTGCCTGAGGAGGTTAGGAAGGCATTCTGCAAACTATGCAAAATGGAATTATTCAAGAGGGTTTTTCTATGTGGGCAGCAGGACAGCACTCTACAAAATGATCCATTAAGTTACTTGGACAAAATATTAGAACTGTAGTCTATAATACTGTGTATAGTTTGCTGTAAATTGGATCCTTCTATGTAATCTTGCATCATTTTATGTGTCATGTTCACATATATGCTTAGTTTCAGTTCCATTTTTTAGATTTCTTGTTGGTTCTACAACCCAAATCCCATTTCATTATTTACTGAATGTCCCATTCCGCTGATTGTATTGACTCACTCTGTGTAATCCACCTTGTGTCCCAGTGAGAAATGTAGACTATAAATAATGTAAAGAAATGAATACATAAATTTTTTGGTGTAAACACTGAGAAAATTGAGAAGGGTGTGTGTGTGAATGCTACACATTACCTGGTTTACATTCATAAAAGTCACAGCATTCCCCTGGTTTGCCTGATGCTTTAGAAACCAATATATTCAAATAGCCAGGCTGGCAAACTTTCCTCAAACACCCCGTAGGATTGCACACACAGCGGCTTGGGAGAGGACAGCATTCACCAGGTGGAGCATAGCCTTCAATCAAAATGGAATCTTCTGGACAGCGAGGAGAAAACTGTACTTCACAACGGGCCTTGGAACAGTCAGGCTTTTCTTCTGAAAACAAGATAGAAATCAGCTGGTGTGAGTGCCTGTAATATGCTGTCTGATAGGTAAAACTCCACAGTAGTTTGGACATCTGCCATACAGAAAAGATATATGTCATTAGAAACCGTGTTCAGTATCTTCCAGGGCAAATAATAGAAAGCTGTTAACTCCGCTTATAATTTGCAACAAAAATCTTGTCACTGATTTTCTTTTTGTCAGCATTACTAAGTCTGTTGAAGCCAAAGGGCTTAGAAGTAAGTAACTCTGCTCAGGATTGTATTGTAAGAGTTTGTTTTATGAGAAGCAAGAAGTGCACCAGATACATACTATTGTAAGTTTGCTTCATGAGAAGCAAGAAGTGCACCAGATACATATGTGTGATCATATATTTTGGGTTTAATTTATGTGTACAGGAGAAAGTAATGATCTTGCTAGCAGACACAGAGCCACGTTAATATTAGTGGGATCTAGGCTTACTCATCCATTCTGGTAACTGCTCAAAGCATACATTGAATATAACAGCATGATTGAACCACTATACTAAAGAAGTTTTACTTTGATTTGCGGTTCTTATATAGTCCAAGAGGTCTATAAGTTTGTTACAAAAACACTGTGCTGCCACAAACTCCCTAAACACTTATAGAATAAAGAAATCAATTCTTTAAAAAATACCTGTGCACAGAAGGCAAATGGTGCTTTCCCACATTCCTCTCTGTTCCTGCAATGTTTATGGACCCCTGGGAAAATCACTCCTAGAGTCACAGCCAGGTGGGTTTGCTGGGCTGGAATGAGGAGAGCCAAGGGGATTAAAGTCAACCTCTTTCCTCAGTGGAACTGTTCTTGCAGAAAAACAAGAAGGGACAATTCTACCACGCTGTCCTTTCTCAACCCAACGTGAACCTGCATGGAGCCCTGACTTTGTGGGTTTATAGGAGGCTGCCAGGAACAGAGAGAAATGCATGAAAACTTTGCATTCAGTATACAAGGTGTTATGATACATGCTGTTGACATAATGTCCCACTTGACGGAAGTGTTCTCCCAGTGGTTTCTGGATAGATTCATCTTCATAGATAGTGACACATTGACCAAAGGACAGTCTTGAAAGTTATGCATGATGGCATATCAAAATGGAAGGTATTCAGGTATATGAACTCTTAGCAATGGGGCTTGTATTACCAAGTGTAGTAACAATGTTGCCAAAATACACAAGGCTTTCAATGACAAATGTGTTATAGAGGGTTGTTTGAATAGCTGTCACAATGTACTTCTACAACCAGGTGATAGATTCAACTAAAGGTGCTACCTGAAGCATTACAGTAGATAAGCAACAATGACCAGGGTTCAGGTGATTATTTCCATGCCTCACTGTTATCTGCAAATCATCTGAAAACTGGCTACCACCAGCACAATGCTGTTGCACATTCTGAGCAGTTTAACAAAGCCAAACAGTATTTTTTCATTAAGAAGAATATTTTGTTGGTTGATTAGGTTTATTTACCCCAGGTTTGATACTGTTGAGAAGTGCACCTCCAGGGTTTCCCCCAGCATTTCTCCAGGGTTTCCCAAACTTTATTTTCTGTGAAGCTTTGGGAAAGATTGCAACAAAGCCTGGATGGCTGCCACGTGGGTGGGAAAACTTGGATTTTCCCAGTCCTGCCCACATAACAGCTATTATGCCTGCCCCCAGGTTTTTTTAGGTCAGTAAATGAAAGTCATCAGTGTAACATTATGACAATATGGGTATCATTTTTCTGTGAATTATCAACTTCTATTTTAAAAAATCTCTAGCCCTTTTCATTGCAGAGCTATAAAAAGAAAGGCTTATCTCTGAAATGAGAGGAACTAGAGACTTTTCTTTAAAAAAGAGGGAAATTCACAGAAAACTATATAGTCTGTCTTAATCATGTTAATATAATAATATTCATCATGATCTGCTGCTTTTTTAAAATGCTGAAAAGTCTTGGTGGTGGGGGGGTGGGTTGGTCACTGCCAGGAAGCTGAGGCAGGGAAACTACCAGGCAACCAGCCATGTGGAAGCCCTGATGCCACTGCTGTATCAGCAGCTACAAAAGTAATGGGAAAACTAGGCAAGCCTGTCCTCATGTGGAAAGCTCCTAGTATCTTTGCCACAGTTACTTTATTGCCAAGAAGGATTACTATTAAAATAATACATTAGACTCAGAATCTCAGGACCTGGATGGATGCAATTAAATACTCTTTTCCAGCCTTTCATTCCCTACAACACACGGATGTACTTATGCGCCCTATTAAAAATTCCATTTTACAAATATACCACAGCAGACTTTAGCAACAAATGTGTCAATACATGACCAGATTTTTAGAGAGCTAAGTGCACAGTACATTTTCAGCCAGCACTGATATACTTGGAAATACTGTCATGTTGTTGTTAAAGATAATGCAGCGTGCTCTTGGGCATACCGTGCATTCACAGAAATCCATGTATCAAATCATACACAGTTTTTCTGTCTTTACTCTCATCCATTCGCCTCTCAGCATCTAGGGCACGGGTGGCCAAACTTGCTTAACGTAAAAGCCACATAGAATAAATGTCAGATGTTTGAAAGCCGCAAGACATGAACAAATATTACACACGTTTTAATTGAAAAATATGCAAATCTGCTTTTATTAATATTAAATTGATAACTTGGGGAGGGAGGGGAGAAAGAGTGAGAGAGAAGGAAAGATGGAAAGAAATAAAGTAGAAAGAAAGCAAAGATGGGGGAGGGAGAGGTGGAAAGAAAGCAACTTTAATGTTAAATGTGTCCTCCAAGCCCCCCCCCCTGCCCCCATGCTGACTAGCTTGGCAAAAGAATTTAAAGAGACAAATGCCTTCAAGCCACCTGGCGGGGGGGGGGGCGTGGGGGATGTATTTAAAGTTGCTTTCCTTCTCTGCACTGGCTGAGGAAGGGAAGACCAATTGGGGAGGCATGCCTCCCCTTTGCTTCCCCAGCCACTGTAGCAGGAGTCGCACATTATGTGTGAAAGACCGCGTGTGGCTTCCAGGCCTCAGTTTGGTCACCCCTGATCTAGGATCAAGCAGGACATGATGGCAGAAGATCCATGAAAATACTACCCATGGGGTGCAGTCAGACAGCGTGCCGAGAGCAGGTTAAACTGCTCCGGTTCTAACCAGATTATATTTGATCTGGATAATCATGATCACACTTACCTCCCTTATCCCACCTCACCGCACAGTCATGTTGCTCCCTGGTGTCTATACTACCGCTAGAGATGTAAAATTTCCGGAAATTTTGAAGCTTGGAAAAAAACCGGGGGGGAAATGGAAATTTTTGGAAAAATTGAAAAAAATGCTACATTAACATTTCTTTTGTCTTTTCTAGATTGAAAGTCATTCTGTTACTTTAGGAACATAAAATTTGAGTATGGACATTTTTACTTGGCATGAAATTATCATAACTAGCATATTAAAAATATAGTGTATCCAAACAATTAGTACAAACAGAATACCCTCCCACATGCAAAAACAAAACTGAAACTTTCTTATTTTCTTCTGACAATCGCACCTCCTAAAGGAAGAAATGCATCTTGTTCTTGCATTGGAGAGTTCTGTTTGTAACCTAGGACTTGCTTGTCCTCAGTGCACAGAAATTAGATCAATCTGATACCATATATATAT